CTAGCAACGAACAATGTTCGGAACTTTTTTTTCAATAGTATCAACTTATCAGTTTATAAATATTTATTCCGCTCATTCAACAACCTTAAACTGTATCCTTACCATTTGTGTTTCTTAAAGTTGATCATTTGCCATTTTTTTTATTAAAACAAATACTCGCATTTTGTAACTCCAGAAACATTATAATTAAATCATCCTTGTTTCAGGTTTGAAATATATTTTGCGACTAACAGTTTTAACACATCGGAGAGAGTCCTAGAGAAGCTTAATCACCTTGTGTATGCCTTTACAATAATTTAATAATATACATTATTTACTCAATAAATTACAAACTATACCATTTCTGTTTTCAACTCGATTTTAAATGAGATCTTACCATCTAAAAAAAAATATATATTTTTAAGAATTGTTGAAGCTTCGATAAATTCTAGTTTTAGCGGATTATGTTATTTAAGTTTATGTTTATTTGTTTGAGAAAATAAAACAATTTTCAAGAATAATTATTATTAAGGAGAATAAAGCTTATTTTTTTTGCAAACTGAAGTTACCGGAACTGAACTGTTCTCGGTGGGAAAATCAAAGTTTAACGCGCGACGAAAGAGTGAAGACTGACAACTGCTAGAAGCTACTAAAGTGTAAATTATTAATTGCAGTGTACACATATACGTGCATTGTGCACAATATGATAATTTGCAATAATAAATCAGTAAACCGTAAACCAGGGGATATAAAGGGAACCAGAGGAACTGAGGAGAACCAGGCGAACTATAGGGAACTGTACGTAAACCAGAATAGTTAAGTTAAGAGAACTAAGGAGAACCTGAGGAACTAAGGAAACCAGGGGATTTAAGGGGAACCAGAGAAACTAAGGAAACCAGAGTAACTAATGGAGACCAGGGGAACTAAGGGATACCAAGGAAACTAAGGAGAATCAGAGGAACTAAGGGGAACTAAGGAAAACCAGAGTAACTAATGGAAACCAGGGGAACTAAAGAGAACCAGAGGAACTAAGGTGAACTAAGGAGTACCAGAGGAACTAATGGAAACCAGAGGAACTAATGGAAACCAGAGGAACTAATGGAAAGAACCAGAGGAACTAAGGTGAACTAAGGAGTACCAGAGGAACTAATGGAAACCAGAGGAACTAATGGAAACCAGAGGAACTAATGGAAACCAGAGGAACTAATGGAAATCAGAGGAACTAATGGAAACCAAGTGAACGAAGAAAAACCAAGGGAAACTAAGGGGAACCGGTAAACTACGAGGAACCAGGGGAACCATGGGAACTAATGGGGAAAAGGGGAACCAGGGAAACCAAAGGATCCTGGGGAACCAGAGGAACCAGGCCTAAGGGAGGACCGTAAATTAGAGGAAATAAGGAAAACCATGGGAACTAAGGGGAACCAGGGGAACTAAAGGAACCAAGGTAACTAAGAAGAACCAGAGGAATTAAGGGAAACCAGGGGAACTGAGGGGAACCAGGGGTTCTAAGGAGAATCAGGGAAACTAAGGGAAGTCAGAGGAACCAATAAGGGAAGCCATGGGTACAGTTGAACCATAAACCTTTGGAACCATACACCATGGGGAACTAAGGAAACTGGGGAATCAGAAATTAAGAAACTAATGATTTTGTTTCGATTAAGAACCATTACTATAGATACAGGAAGGCATAATCACAGGAGACCATTGATTGACCAAGGACCATGTAGATAGCGGGAAGGAATTTGGTATTACAAACTGTTCTCCGCTTAAAATCCTCTTTAAATAATAGATTTATCCAACCCACCTTAATAATTATACATATACTTTATTATTTATATTTATAGGATTAATGTTAACACACTTTTATACACTTTTAATCAACTATCCAATGTGATTAATTAAGCTAATATAGTCATGGCATTTAATAGTTCCTATATATATTATATTAATACCGTAGATATAAATATTATATCTATGCACACTGTGTACTGTCCTTTCACAATGTGTATATGATTTAGTGCAAATAGATTATCAAGTACAATGGATGGCAACAGAGAAATGGACCAATTATACACGACCTCACTAGTGTCAAATATAACAAGGAAAAAGAAAATTTCTCACATTAGTTGACATGTTTTCAAAGACAGTGTTAACACAGAAAATAAAGAACAGATGCAATTGCGCTTATTTTACTGTAAGATAAGCACTATATTCTAAAATTATCACTCTTATTAATAATTTTGTCGGAGACAAAGACTGAATTGACACTTGTGACGTCAGAATCTAGCGGTACTGAGAGTGTACAAATTCTACGTCGCCAACTTGCTAGAATCTAATTGATTTAGAGTCTCTTCTTCAGAACTATAATATCTTAAGTAGACTGTTGACGTAATTACATTCAAAATTTCATACTTTTTTAAATAGAAAATTGGCTTTTTATTCCCCAGTGTTACTTGTCATGTCATGTAATCTTATAATATCAAGAACGTTCTGTTCGAAATAATGCGGAAAATGCAGCGAAGTTAAAATGACAACTTCGCATAATACGGATATTTCATCCATGAGTCTATGCAGGAAGTATTAATTATTGCAGGAGGGATTTTCAAAAGTATAATTTAAACTTGGAATTGCATTATAATCAATAAACATTAAATATTTTCTGTCTTTATTGCAAAATAAACCACATTTTATTTCTATAAGTACGAAAGCTACGGAAGCTACACATCAGAAGAAAGATTTTAATTTTAATTTTGACATGTCCTCTAGTATTTACTAAGTTTGCATGCTTGACAAACTCTTTTTTAATTTAAGGATAAACTTGCATTTGTGCAACACTAACTGTATTTCAAGGATAACGATTTATACGTGTAAAATAAATAAAACATCTTTCGTGCTAGGATTCAGTACTAGAGTTCAGTGCTAGGGTTCAGTACTAGAGTTCAGTGCTAGGGTTCAGTACTGTTCAGTGCTAGGGTTCAGTACTCGAGTTCAGTGCTAGGGTTCAGTACTAGAGTTCAGTGCTAGGGTTCAGTACTCGAGTTCAGTGCTAGGGTTCAGTACTCGAGTTCAGTGCTAGGGTTCAGTACTCGAGTTCAGTGCTAGGGTTCAGTACTAGAGTTCAGTGCTAGGGTTCAGTACTCGAGTTCAGTGCTAGGGTTCAGTACTAGAGTTCAGTGCTAGGGTTCAGTACTCGGGTTCAGTGCTATAGGATTCAGTGCTAGAGTTCAGTGCCAAGGTTCAGTACTAGGGTTCAGTGCAAGGGTTCAGTGATGGAGTTCAGTGATAAGATTCAGTCCTATAATTCAATTCTGCGAAATTTTAAGTGTACGTAGCTAAACTCTGATTTGACAAATTAGCACAAAATCCTTTATAGTTTGTGGAACGATGCTCAACTTAAAATGTAAACTTACTACAATTGAAATTCACTTCATAATCGATATTCTAATAAGAAAAAAAATATGAAGAATGGAATCCCACGAAGAATGGACCAGTGGCCCCGCTAGTTGGTAAAACTAATAAAATAATCTGAGTAAATCTATATTCCCTAATAAGATATTATTTTACAAAAATGTATCACAAATATATATAGTTTACAATATATAGTTTACATAATATATGCTTAAATATTTGACAATAATGTTTAAACATTTAATTTGACAAATTTGATACTTTTTCTTCCTATAGTCAAGGTGTATTTTTTCCACTGCGATGAACACATGGATTACAGAGATAGTATAAGAAACGTTATGAAAACATGGATTACAGAGATAGTACAAGAACCGTTATAAAAACATGAACCTCTCAGTTCATCCCTAGACTGTAAGCATAAAACTGTTAAAGTTTATTAAGTATATGCAAGTTCTGATGTTGAAATTCAGAAAAATTTCTTGTTTTATCTGTGTAATCTGTGTGTTTATAAATTCAATTACTAAAAAATGGTTTGCATCAATATATATTTGTTTATACTACAGCTGTCTTTGGATGGTTGGGGGTAGATTGTTTATTATTCAACCAATGAGGGGAAGGTTTTCAAATATATTTTTAACTCCATCAAAAGGATTGAAAGAGAAAAGTCCACTAGGTTTGTTTTCATCAGGGATAGGGTTACCGTCTCTCCTGGGGACATCCTAGATAGATAGATAGATAGATAGATAGATAGATAGATAGATAGATAGATAGATAGATAGATAGAAAGATAGATAGATAGATATATAGAAATAGATAGATAGATAGATAGATAGATAGATAGATAGATAGATAGATAGATAGATAGATAGATAGATAGATAGATAGTACAATCAATATCTATCTTCAATATAATTTCCTTGACTGTCTGTCAGTCAGTCCGTTTGTATCCAATAAATGTCAAAACGGCTGAACTTATATCGGGCCCAAAGGAATTGAGTTTTTGCCACAAATTATGATTTTACAATCGCTATATCTTTTCAACCTGATGGTGTAAACCTTTGATATTTCAAACTATCGTTATTTGATCTAAAATGATTCATAGTTTGAAATATCTAAGTTCTACAACATTCAAATGCAAAGATATAGGGATAAGAAAATCAGAGTTTGTGACAAAAACTCAATTCCTTTTGTGTGGGACCTCACATGACCACAGGCAAGGTTTATGGATGCTCAAAATTACTAAAATTTGTGTTCAAAAGTTTTTGTTGTTGTAAAATTTTGAAAATGCGCGAAAAAATACTTTTAAATTCGCCGATTTTTAGTTAGTTATTGTTTTATATTGCACAAAGAGAAGTTGCTCACAGATAGAGCCACAATTATAAGTTGAAATAGAAGTTGCTAGTGCTAGTGAATAATTATAGATAGACATGAATACGTACACGTCTGAGTGTTATATTAAGAACTGTAGGATTCTTCTCCACTATAGCAAAATCAATCTCTTTCGGAGCAAACCCTTCAGCAAATACTTCCATTGTATAAATACCAGGGAGAAGGATTCGCCAGAACTCTCCCTCCTAATAAGAATCAGAATTATTATAATAATTACACATTCTCTGTCTATTGGCGATCATTGTCGAGTATGTTTCTCTGTATACTTCTTGTACGTCTCTCTGTTTTAATACTGCCATTTTCCTTTCTTTTTCTCGTATGTTCCTTTTTCTTTTTGTTACCTTTGTCTTGTTTAGCTATTTATATAAAGTTGTGTTTGCTACCATTGTCCTGTCTATTTCTTGTACAATTGTCCGTCTAACTTTGAATTGTTCTTTATTCATTTGCGTCTATTTCACTTTCAATGTCTATTTCTTACATAGTTTTTTTTTGTCTTTTTGCTACCATCGGCTTGTCTTATTTATTTACAACCATCGTCCACACTCTATGATCGTTCATCTTTATGATTCTGTTATTCATATCTTTGAGAGATTTTCTGTAATCAATTTGTTCTGCATCCAAATTTGGTTTGCTCATCTGTCACTAAAAATATATCAATCTACCTACCAGCTGTCCTTTCAGCTGTCATGATCTGTGTAAATCTACCCACCGGCTGTCCTTTCAGCTGTCATGATCTGTGTAAATCTACCTACCAGCTCTCATAATCTGTCTAAAATTACCTTAGTTGTCTGGAATCCTACATCTCTCCCCCTGATCTTCATGCTGGCCCCCTCAATAGGGTTAAATTCATCATCCTTCACAAACCCCTTCACTCCTCTAGAAAAATGAAGTACAGGGTTAACCACAAAGAATAAGACTTATCAGAGACAACTGTACCGAATTTATTAAGTCTTTTTTCTTACATTCATGGATTGTACATGCATCTATATATATATACTTTGCTTGTCTGTTTGTTTGTAACTAATAAACGTCAAAACGGCTAAACCCATCCACTCTCCACTAAACCCCACTATTAGTTCGGTCAAAGAACTGCAGATATCTACTGTACAAACTAAAAGCTTAATTTAGGGGGGATCGGGCCCACATTTTTATGGGCCCTTACATTACATGACCCCAGGGAAGGTTTATGGATGATCAGAATTTCAACCTACAAAAATTACGATTTTCTATTATTTTGATAATTCATTAAAAAATGTTTTTAAATCCCAATTCTTTTTGGTATTGTTTTATAATGTTTACAAAAAGAAAATTTTCACAGATAGAGCATCAATCAAAAGTTGATATAGAAGCCTAATGCTGTATAATGCAGGTTGTACAATGTATTCTGTACTATGTACAACAGAATTACCTATGTGCCTCCCCTAGGAACTTCAGGAGTGATTTCCTGTTGTCTTCCCAGAAACCCTGAAACAAAATAAAGTGAAGAAATTGACTCTTCCTAATTTTAAAAAGGATGATAATGTTTTCATAAACCAAAAGTCATTTTCTGTGACATGGAGGCCGAGGCCCGAATTCAACCCGTCAACTTTTTGACCCATCCTGTTCAAGCAAACCAATGGCAGCCAATTGTATCATTTTGAGAGGAAAAAACTAAAATATAACCGTGATCACTTTATTTCACTCTGTGGTGAAATGTAATTTATAATTATGTTGATGATTTCTTTAAATGCCTTTAAAAGGTCTTAAAAAGGTCTTTTACGAGGCTTTAAAAGGTTTTTCAAAAGGCCTTAAAAGGTCTTTTTTTCATACAGTTTTAATCACCTGAAGTTCTGATGCAGGAGGAAATTTACAACAGCTTAGTTCTAGAGTAATCTCCATAGCTCCATGCCAGATATAGTTATAATCCTTTATTATATAATCCTTTATTATATAATATTTAATTTTGATTATATAATCTTAACTTAAAGTTATAAAATCCTAAATTATAATTATGTAATATTGTCTTATTGTTATATAATCTTTAATTGTTGTTTAATAATCTTTACTTATTGTTATATGAACCTAAATTAAAGTTATAGAAAAAGTAATAATCTTTAATTTTATTGTTACATATTCCTATATTAAAGGTATACTAAACGTAATTATGTAAAATTTACTTATCGTTAAATAATCCTAAAGTATAGTTATATAATCCAAAACTATAGTTAGAAACTCCTAAAATATAGTTAAATAATCCTAAACTATAGTTATATATTCCTAAAATATAGTTATATAATCCTAAGCTATAGTTATATAATCCTAAACTATAGGTATTTAATCCTAAAATACGTTAAATAATTCTAAACTATAGTTGTATAATCCTAAAATACAGCTAAATAATCCTAAATTATAGCTAGATAATCCTAAACTATAGTTATATAATCCTAAATTATAGCTAAAAAATCCTAAACTATAATTGTAGAATCTTAAAATATAATTATATAATCCCAAACTATAGTTATATAATCCTAAACTATAGTTGGGAACCTGAAGGAAAACGTATTATTCCAATTAAAGATCGTTTGATTTTAGTTACACACTCTCCAATAAACTCTAATTATTTGGTCAATATACTGTAAATCACTGAAGTACACACCGAAAGCTTATTTGAGGGTGTATAGCCAATCTCACATACATATCTAAATACATAACAAGTGCGCATGAAATGTCGTCTTGAAATTTATTTTAAAATGTATGACAGCCGTAATGCTACATCATTGGTTCTGCACAAAAAGAAATCTGCTGAGATGTTCACAGCTTTAAAGAGTTTATGAAAATATATCCAAATATCTTTGTAGAGTTCGTAGAGTTATAAGTTTTTTTTAATAATTCTTTATATTCTAAATTCCAGGTAAATTAATAACCCTGAAATATGAAGTACAGCAATTGATACGTTAAACTCGTGGAGAATACGACATTATAAAAAACTCTTCCTATGTATTCATATATCTGGAATATATCTAGTTTAAATTATGAATATAATTAAATATATTAAAGTTTTATATTCCTAAACTGCAGTTATATAATACAGGGTAACCTATAAAGGATGAGACTTCAGTACCGATTGTACGGAAGTATAATGTCTATTTCCTTATATTTATGATTCCCTGCAACTATAAACTTGTTGGTTTCTTTGCCAAATAATTAAATAAGCAAGTAGATTACTACATATAAAACAAAATACTTAATGGTCAGGAAGAATTTTTTTATTGAAAATCAATCAATTGAAAAAGTGATAATTTTCAAAAATATTGTTGCAAGCTGACCTGCATTCCACCTGTGAGAGGATACCAGGCTGCCCCATTGGTTGTACCGTTCTCAAACTGAGGTGCTCCGGCTTTACAGGGTTCACCCAGAAACATTCTTAACAAGGTTTAATGTAAAGTAAAAGTAGAAGAAAATGAAGACGACATTTATATTGGCAAGATTCTTTCAATTAACTAAACCGTGATAAACATGATAAAACATAAAAGAAAGTGTGAAAATCTTTTTAAAAACGTCCATCAATAGTCCTGTCCCTGCAGTAAAGAAGAGAAAGTCTACGAACCCCGATTTATATCTCATCATAAGCTTAAAAATTTGTTCTACATGGTCCAGCTAAAATGTCGTCTTTAAAAATCAAATCTTTTAAGGTGAGGTTAACTTCCAGACCAAGGAAGATATACCGGGAACCACCATATCTCATGAAGTTTGTAATTGTGTACTGCAGTCTATAGAAGTAAAAATTACCAGGCTGCACGTTGTGTTTTAATTATTTACAACTACTTTACTTTACAGGGAAGTTAAGGGAATTTTACTTTACCAAGGGTCCCCAAGACCAATTTTGCCAAAAAACATCTTGAGCGCTGACTGACTGTTTTTCAATAATTACTTAATCACTTTCAAAATTCATAAATTCATTTTAGTCAACATTTATATTGTAAACGTGAGTTCAATGAATGTAATCCCGAAAATGTTTTGATTGTTTAAGAGAAGAAAAAGTAAAAGCCCATTGAATGTATTTTATAGTTGATATCTATTGTACTTAATAGTTAAATGGTTTTAAAATTATTTCTGCTATTTTGGATTATTTGAATGATTACTATATCATTATATCTACAGTGATAACCAGAAATCAATGGAATAGAGAGATGACATTATAGCAATAATTAAATGTATTTGATGTTGATACAAAGCAAATAGTTTTACCAGAAACTTATTTGATCACTAATTTAGTAATCTTAAACTGCATAATTGCTGTGTCTGATGCTAATTGGACTTCCTAAAGTTATAACTTAATTCTAAAAGTCGTCTTCCTATTTCAAAGTTATTACTGTGTCGAATAATCGTCCTAAAATCCGCACTGATCTCTGCTCCTGTACCTGCCATGGTTGAATGAGAAGACTCCGGCAAGATGTTTAAAAACGTCGTCGTCCGGAGTAAGGGACGGAGTAGAGAGGACAGAGCTAAAGATGGAGTTTGGAGTATTGTCGAATGGATAACTGGATACCAGTGCTCCTAATTATTAAATCAATTAATTTATATTTGTTACAAACTGTTTTTTAAAGGGATTGTAAGCGTAATTTCATGTGACCCTCCATACAAATATGGCTATGCCCGATTGACAATCTAGAACCCTTTTCTGATCAATAATGTGGAAGATATTGGCGTTTTTCTAGGTTTAAAAGTGATCAACTCTGATAATTCCTATATATTTTTCTGTAGTAGATATTTACGCAAATCACTTTTGTATGAGAAACCACAATTGAAAATAAACAGTTTTCAAAATTATAAACACTGATATCTAATTCATACGAATTGACATAGCTTATGAGTGTCATGTTGTAAATCGGGCGTTACTTTGAAAGAAGGGTCAGTTATAATTACACTTAAAGTCCCTTCAAAATATCAAATGCCGCGTTGAAAGTTTTGTTTCTAATAATCGCAAAATGATGTATCGTCTTCGTAAAAAAACAAGGTCGAAGGAATTCATAATTAATCATAAACAGTTATAAAATAATAAACTTTCCTGTTCTGTGTTATTTTCTACATTATTATCATATTCAGATAATTATTAAATCCTACATTAAGCTATAAACTAGGAAAATATGAATTAACAGAAGTGTCGGAATTTGGTACGGCTAGTTTATCTGCTGGCTAGAGTATGGATTGAATTGCCAGCAGAAGTAGTTGAATCAGTCGAATCTCGTTCAACTACATTATAAAAAGTCAATGTTCTCACCTCCGTGAATATTTCCTGACAGAACAAACTGAATCTTGCTAATCCATTCCTTTACAGCTTCGGTCTCAGGCTGCGACCTCTTATTGTTCTAAACAAACAATTAACGTTTATATACAACTGTTTCTTCAAATTTTAAAAATGCAGACTTACGTTCTTAAAATAATCAGGGAAGTTTCTATTTAGATCAAATCCTCTGGCATTGTACCGACCTTGTCCGCCCTGACATGTACCCTCGGTTGCAACCTATACAGTACATAAATTATTTATCATTTTTGTGAGATTCTTCTTTATATAAAAACCGAGATATTACATTATATCTATTCATATTTCATTATTATTACTATCATACAAATTAATAATTTTTTCATACAAATGTTTACACTTTTTGTTGTAGACTATATTGGTTCATTTTAATGCGAACGTGACAGTTTATAGAAACAGTTTTATTAGTTTTACTCCTTAAAAGCATATCTAATTTCAAAACAGGTTTTGACAACAATGTTGAGGAAAGTTTGATACTAAAAAATGCCACAAAATCCAGTTTTTTAATACAATTCCATACTTTCACAAAATCATTAAAGATATGTTGTATTATTGAAGTTTAAGAATCGAATTTAAAATAAACTTCATGATTTATCCTTTGAGTCCAGGGTTTTGAGATCATTGACGGTTAACCTTTATGTGACCTAGGGGGACCTATAGTGGACCTAGGGGAACCTATAGGGGATCTAGGGGAACCTATAGGGGATCTAGGGGAACCTATAGGGGACCTAGGGGAACCTGTAGGGGACCTAGGGGAACCTATAGTGGACCTAGTGGAACCTATAGGGGACCTAGGGGACCTATAGTGGACCTAGGGGGACCTATAAGGGACCCTATTGGGAACCTAGGGGAATTTATATGGGACCTAGGGGAACCTTTAGGGGACCCAGGGGCCAATTAAGGACCTAGGGGAACCTATAGGGGACCTAGAGGAACCTACAGGAGACCTGGGGGACCTATGGGAACCTATAGGAAACCTAAGGGAACCTATGGGGGACCCTATTGGGGATCCAGGGGAACCTATATGAGACCTAGGAAGACCTATTTGGGGACCTAGGGCTGGGATTTTGAAATAGGGTCTGTGATGTGGTTTACCTCAAAACCATCTGGATTCATACTCGGCATAATATGTATTCTTGTATTGTCCAGGATCCATCTATACAACAATACAAACATTAAAACCAGAATTAATTTGGTTAATTATTTAATTATTTACTCAAAACTTGTGTGCAGAAGACGGCTTTTAAACTCAAGTTATGACTTTAAATCCATTTAACTTAAGAAGTTATTTAATAAGTTTCTCGTAATAGAATTTCATTTGTAACAACATCAAATACACTGCTATAATGTCGTCTTCCTATTCCACCTAGTTCTAGTTATCACTGTAAGTAATCAAAAACCTTCAAAGAAATCTCAAAGATTTAAAAAAAAAACTTTAAAAGTGTTAAAACTAAACCCATACGTTTAGCGTGAATACCTGACAAAGTAATCCTTATCGTAGTTTTGTACCAGATATAAGATTAGATGCAACATCATCTCCCGTCCTACTGCCTCATTACCTGCACACAGAAAACACATATATTTTATGTCATTTTATACTCTTTTATAATTTTACACAGTTTTAATACCGCTTATATTATTTTATACTCTTTTATAATTTTACACAATTGTATTGCAGTTTATATTATTTTACACTCTTGTGGAAGACGATGCCTGGCCGCGTTAAACAAGTTCCACAAGATTCAACAGAATGAGATAGAACGGATACGGGGCATAGTACTAAAAAACATCTACATGTGTGATCTCGATATAAACTATTATTCTGAACCCTCTAGTAATAAGTTATAAGAAATAAATACACTGGAAGTTATTTATGCGTTTTCATTAGAGTCTGACTCACGTCCTCTATACTCTTTTATAATTTTACACAATTGTATTGCAGTTTATATTATTTTACACTCTTTTATTACTTTTTAACATTTTCCACCATTTTAGGTTTTTCTTCTTTTTGTATCATTTGACGCCATTTTATACCAAGTTAGATAAACCTCACAATTTTATAATTTTAAACCTTAGATACGCGTTTACAATATTTTTACACCGCAATTTTTATCATTTGTTCTTCATACGTTTTTCACATGTGACCTAATTATATCCAACATTTGATTTCCTACATAATGATAATTAAAAGTTTTAAAAACTAGAATGAAAAATATCACTGTCACAAATGTCGTCTTGAACATTCCTGTATGTGACCAAATCCTTGAACATTGGAATTAGTTGCATAAAAAAGACAACTTCTTTATATGAACTTTTATTCTTTGTTCAATTTTAAAATTTTTAAACGAATCGATGTTTTTCTACAATTATAGAATATATATCTTACCGTGCATATTAGCAACATATTTGACATTAAGTTTCCCAATCATATGCTCATAAGGAGAACATGCTTACCGTGCATATTAGCAACATATTTCACATTAGGTTTCCCAATCATCATGCTCGTAAGGACAAAATGTTTTCCGTGCATATTAGCAACATATTTTCCATTAGGTTTCCAAATCATTTGCTCGTAAGCAGAATATTCTTACCGTGCATATTAGCAACATATTTCGCATTAGGTTTCCCAATCATATGCTATATTAGCAACATATTTCGCATTAGGTTTCCCAATCATATGCTCATAAGAAGAATATTCTTACCGTGCATATTAGCAACATATTTCGCATTAGGTTTCCCAATCATATGCTCATAAGAAGAATATGCTTACCGTGCATATTAGCAACATATTTTACATTAGGTTTCCCAATCATACGTGCATATTAGCAACATATTTTACATTAGGTTTCCCAATCATATGCTCAAAAGGAGAAAATGCTTACCGTGCATATTAGCAACATATTTTACATTGGTTTCCCAATCATATTCTCAAAAGGAGAATATGCTTACCGTGCATATTAGCAACATATTTCACATTAGGTTTCCCAATCATATGCTCATAAGGAGAACTAGAAACAACCATAACCCAGAGTTCTCTACCCTAAACAACATAATTGTCATAATTTGTAACATTGCAAAAAAGGCTCCTCAGTTCATAGTTTCTCTGAACTAACTAAAAATTCATCAATTGATATATTATCCAAGACAACGATAAAACTGTCTTTCTTGTAATTTATGCATGTAAACTATACAGTAAACATTGCCTACAATTTAAAGCCTTAGCGGAAGCCTTTAACCATAGAGAATAGTATATATATTAGAGGGGAATTTACTAGAAAAAAGTGTAAAACGGCCATTTTGTTGTACTGTTTCCATACTGCAGGTGTACTTCACATATTTATGCTATATAACCTTTTGGGCCCTGGAATATCATTTTATAGAAAATCTAAAATTATTGTTAAAAAAAAACCAAATTATGAAATAGGCTGGTTTCATAATTGACCAATGATCATTTCACATAGACTCTATGCCTTCCACTTTACAGACGATGATTTTCCGTTATAACTATAAATCAAATGATGTTTTTTATTCACCTAATTCATTATAAAGTTTATTTAAGAGATAAAAAATTCGAAATTGAAATGAATAGTCTAGGGAACATACTGTATTAATGTACTTTACTGCATATAATTTGTGAACATTTACATGATTTGTACACTTTGAACTCCCTTTCAGGATGAAAGGGACTGAAAAAATTCATACTCATACCGAGAGATTCTTTAAATTCCCCTCTAATATATATTCTATTCTCTATGCCTTTAACCCTATCGGTTTTACAATGAGGAAGATATTGTCTTTTTGTGTCTTGTGTAAAAAAAGGGTATGATTTCTTTCTATTTCCTTCGTTGTCTTTGCGTTTCATAAGTATTATTATACCTGTACACTCTGACCGATACTATATAAAGCTGTCAGGTTTGCATAAATTGTAGAAACATGTCGCAGAAATGTCGTCATACTTAAAAAATTATAATTTTAAAAATCGTAATTTAACATTTAAAATTAAGATTTATATGTGTTTAATTACCTTGTATAATTATGGTATTGCATTGATAGTTTAGGAAATATTGGTTGTTGTATCCCAGGACCCAGATATCCCTGACGTCCTACATCCTGAAATATAGGTAGTATCAGATATCCCAGCCGTCCTATATCCTGAATTTTAAGATTAAATATTTCAATAAATTTTAACCAGTTTCTTATTACAATTCAAATATGTGCAAAAATTTCTAAATTGTTCTATTCTTGGTTAAGGTAAATTTAACTCCTTTTTGGTTTCCAGGAAAACTATTAACCTTAAGGATGCATTTTCTTACGCAATCCAACCCTACGCAATCATGACTTGAACTCAAAACAAACAGAAGATATACTAAGGGTACTGCAGAGCGGACAATATTACAAGATTATATCTCAGAAAATTGTGATCTTTCATATTCATCGAAACAAATCCAAATAATTAAAGTTTGAAAATAAACTTAGTTTTACATTAAATACTTTTCTCGTATTTTTTTGTTGTTGTAAAATTTTGTTAGAAAGAAGAATAAATACTAGAAGTCGTGTAAATTATATTTCTAATACACTTTGCTATATTTATAGAAGAAAAACATTTAGCAAAAATGACATTAGCGATTAGCAAAATTTATGCAAGCACGAATTTCATGGCGACAATAGATAGTTAGACATTAATAGCATATAAGGTGGAGGGTAAACCAAGGTGCAATTAAAAAAATAATAACTTTACAAAAATATGTCATGAATTTACCCATAGAATTGTTAATTTAAGATTCAATATTTTTTGTTCTTTACAATCACTTTTTAATTGCTTTAAAAACATTTTGACATCAATTTCATCGATGCCCTACTCACAGCTGTACACTTGAAACATTAATCTGACCGTCGTCTTCTTAGCTTGAGAATTGTTTTATTCTTAAAATTATAGTCTTATTGCAGAGAAAGTACAAATGAAAACGATCAATTCTCTAAAACAAAAACATGGATACATAATTCAAATTTGACCAGGCAAAAATTTTAAGCTTATCGTTGTGAATTAGACATGATACTCTATCAATGAATTATATTTGCATACAGTTAATCCCTAAATAAGCCATGCATCGAAATAATTCATCAAATGTCGTATTCTTGACTTTCTTATCATGGAATATTGCAGATATTTAGTTTCTTAATTAAATGATTATATGGAGCTCTTTAAAACTGTTCCCGCATATTCATGGCTATTTATTTTTTTCACAAATACTGAGATTTACGTAGAATAGAATAAAACCCATTGAAAAATTGTCTAGACGACATTTGACAAATTCTTTCGATGTATGGCTCATTTATGATTTTTCAGAAATCATTTTATTTGCTAATACATGACGCAACAGTCTGTAAGAAAACCAATTCTACAAAACCAATAATGCAGTTTTTTATATGATAATATAAAAATGAACGGAGGGCCGAGGGGGGGTTGTGTATTTACAGTAGGGAGGGTCAAAACCATAACGAAACCAAGGAAATTGTATATAATAGAAACTGTAACTTGTAAGTATAACGGAACCTGTCCTAATACCCTAGTAACCTAAAAGCGAGATAAACATCAAAAGGATTAATAATAAAGGATTAATATTTGAATGTATTTGTTATTTATAAAAATGTTGTATATTTGCTTACTACCTATATAGTAGAAAATATAACCACTGGTAAGAATAACGCCTGCACTTCTATATAAGTGTTTATACACTGTCACAGGTTTCTAACTGACTAGTAAACCATACATATGTGATCCTTATACTCCACTTTCTCCAGTATCTATCTATCTCACTCTCTCCAGGTTTATCTATCTATCTATCTATACCTGAGAAACCATGCCATCAAGCGACACTAAGGTTTTAAACAGGGTAGTTGATGAAATAAAAGACTTTGGACACTTCGCTACTGTATTCAGAGGCGCAAACATTGAGTATTTAATGAGGGGGGGGGGGTTGTGTGGTTGGAAATTGGTAATTTTTCCTGTGGTACTGTATATCGTACATTGTAGTACGTTCTACGAATTCCAATTGATAAATGAACATTGTGAGTTCTACGTATTCTAATTGATGTACATTGTACGTTAGACGGATTATAATTGATGACAATTTAAAGCTTAAGTGTTGGGTTCTGCATCAATTTTGTATTTTGATGGCTTATGGATTGGAATGAGCACATATAAAATCCAGTGTTGGCCATCAAGAACCCCTGAATGCAAGAAATTGGACTTTTCTAATTCCGTAAAATTGTCTCATCCTTTGTGAATAACCCTGTACATTGTACATTCTACTGATTCTAATTGATATATGTACATTGTACATTCTACTGATTCTAAATGATATATGTACATTGTACATTCTACTGATTCTAATTGATATATATGTACATTGTACATTCTACTGATTCTAATTGATAAATGTACATTGTACATTCTACTGATTCTAATTGATATATGAACAATGTACATTCTACTGATTCTAATTGATTTTTGTACATTGTACGTACTACTGATTCTAATTGATAAATGTACATTGTACATTCTACTGACTCTAATTGATACATGTACATTGTACATTCTACTGATTCTAATTGATAAATGTACATTGTACATTCTACTGATTCTAATTGATAAACGTACATTGTACATTCTACTGAATCTAATTGATACATGTACATTTTACGTTCTACTGATTCTAATTGATACCTGTACAATGTACATTCTACTGATTCTAATTGATACATGTACATTGCACGTACTCATGATTCTAATTTATACATGTACATTGCACATTCTACTGATTCTAATTGATACATGTACATTGTACATTCTACTGAATCTAATTGATACATGTACATTGTACGTACTACTGATTCTAATTGATACATGTACATTGTACGTACTACTGATTTTAATTGATATATGTACATTGTACCTTAGCTACGGATTTTAATTTATGTACATTGTACGTTATACTGATTCTAATTGATGTACGTTGTATGTTCTACTGATTCTAATTGATAAATGTACATTGTACAATGTACGTTCTACATGATTCTAATTGATAAATGTACAATGTGTGTTCTACTGATTCTAATTGATAAATTTACAAGGTACGTTCTACGTACTGATTCTTATTGATATATGTACATTGTACCTTAGCTACGGATTCTATAATTTATGTACATTGTACGTTATACTGATTCTAATTGATGTACGTTGGGCGTTATACTGATTCTAATTGATGTACGTTGTACGTTCTACTGATTCTAACTTATGTACGTTGAACGTTCTACTGATTCTAATTGAAACATTGTTGTACTTTCTACTGATTCCAATTCATAAATAAACGTTGTACGTTAGCTAAGGATTCTAATTTATGTTCATTGTACGTTATACGGATTCTATTGATGTACGTTGTTCGTTCTACTGATTTTAGTTGAAATATTGTTGTACGTTGTACGGATTCTGATGCTAAGTTTTAATTTTTTTCTATCTTTAATTCAACTAAATTTATATTGATCCCTCTTGCTCTAAAAAGACGACAACCAAACCATCAAACGGATTGTCTTATACAAATTGTATTCCAAAACTAAAGTCCAAGAACGATGTTTATATTGGGCCTGGACGTTAAATCACCGTTAAACAGAAGAATTAATCGTGGGATACAAAATAAAGAAACTTTACCTTTAAAGAGTTACACCATTTTTTTCAAGGATTTCTTTCCTTAAATGAAGTATTAGACAAAAATAGTTGAAACCCAGCAAAGTCAAGTTAATAAATCGTGTTTAAACTCAAAAAGCTCTAGTCAATACTGCCTTCAGTGTAAACATACATTATTTATGTATTTTAAAAATTGATATCCTGTAAAAATCAAAATCTATTAATCTAATGAAATGCATGCATTTTGTCATGTTCTTAAAATGATACCTTGTAAACAATGGTGGTCTAAGGGGATGCGATGCCACTTAATTACTCAAAATGAAGAATCCAAATTTTGGTAGCACTTTTTTTCCCTCCCATTGTTTTGACAATAAAATTACCAAATTCCCTGTATAAATTCCAGGGGTGGGAGGATCTTATGCATGGGGGTAATCAATTTTGGCGCGCTTTTCAAATTTAAAAAGCCTCTGAATGGCAGTTTTAAATTACAAGAAGAAAAAATAATTATATAAAGTATACACGTTCTCTGTAGTTTATAAAACAAATGAGGAGCCAAATTAAATATATTTCTCTATTTAGTGCAGAATTGTTAAAATACTATCTCAGAATTGTCTGATGTTTTATAAGTAGAGAGTATTGTTTAGTTTCTCCAGATATCCAGGATAATGTATTAGATGTATCCGATGTTCTGCATGGAGAGAATACCCCCCTTTGTGTTTCAGCTAGTTCAACATTAGACATTAAAAGTAGTTTTAAAACATTTACAATTATTTGTTTACATAAAAAATGAATATAAAGTTCTAAAATGAATTATTTAAGGGAGAAAACGCAAAAAAAAATATTTTCTCGCTTTAGTCGTCTTCCTTTCAAGTTATCAAACAATCAATATTTCTTCGAAACAGACAGGGTGTCCCACGCAAGATGACAGTAGCAAGACGACTTAAAACTTGTCTTTAACCTTTTATTTTATTTGTGACATTCAGTTGTCAACCAACTTTCACATGTATGATTATTTAAACAATAACCACAAAATTCTTCTATGTGTTGGCATTTCCAAAATGTGGCCTGACTTTTTTGTGGTGTCAATATTATCGGAGATATTACGAATTTCGTTCAGATTTCAATTTTATTAAATAAAACCAAAGTTGTCGATATCTGAACGAAATCTTCATATCTTCGGATATTTTTAAAACACAAAAAAGGCAGACCACACTTTGGAAATGCCAAGACTTGGACTATTTCGTGATTTTTAACTTTAGAATTTTACTTCTAAAATTAGGTTTACGAAAAATACAGAAAATTATTTCAAAGATCAAAGACGACCTTCAATTCGTCTTGCTGCTGTCATGTTTCGTGGGACACCCTGTAGATTATTTTTAAATGCGAGGGCAATCAAAACTTGCTGTTGATGTCCAAAATTGTG